AGGAAATGGTCTACACCGAATACTCTATCCTTCAATAAAAAAAATAAATGTAAAAAATTGTAAACATACTTATCATTATGAGCAACGAGGAAGTGTTTTGCAATTTTTACATTTATTTTTTATTGAAGGATAGAGTATTCGGTGTAGACCATTTCCTTTTGCAACGCGCTATTCTAATTACTTTCACTCAAAATAGTAGCATTAGAATGACGCGAAGCGGTTTGACCTGATGATTTGTGTCCAATGACATTTCCTACTACCGATCGAAGGGATTGAAGGCTTGACTGGTCTGAATGAGATTCGGTCCGGGTTCTCACGTAGGATCATGCAAGCATGCACCTTTGCCTCTCAGAGATTTGAAGTCTAATGTCTTTCTGCTTCGGAACGTGATATTCCCTTCAAGCGCGTCCATTAAAAAGGAAGCAGAACTTCTGGATCAGTGTAGGGTAACAAACTTGACGTAAGCAAATGTTATCCACTGGTACATAACTTCTGCCAAGCGGGCCTCCGTAGTTTGGGATGTACGTGTGTATGTTCGATGTCACGTGAGTGAGAATGCCAATGCTGTTCACTGGAGCATGTATTGAACTTTCAATCAGAAAGCTCATTTTGTGACATGTTTTTCTTCACATTGGCATACAATGCACAACGTCAGCTGTTCAATTCGAAAGTTCATCAGTTAGGCCAGCAAAAATTGAAATGCTGCTCATTCGCTGTGGTATATCAGATGTGTAATATAATGCAAACGATAAAATGAGGGTTCCTCGATTTTCTGGAACAAGCGCAATCCTTTAGGTTGGTATATAATGTCGTGGTTTTTGTAGTCGATATTTACGTTTGATACAAGTAGAGCTAACAAGGAGGGTCTTTCAGGCAAGCCACGCTTTTTCAAAACGGTTTCTTGCATATTGTAGGGACGCATGTAGGGAACACAAAACCATGTTTCATTTTCGCTGAACGGTTTTAGCAGTACCAAAAAAGCATAAGGTACTGTTAATGGTTCGATCCCCCGTGGCGACTAAATTTTGCATTTGGGTTGGCGCCTATGAATTGGTGCATAGTTCGTAACATCCTAACGAATGTGCTAAGCAGAAGTACTGCGGGAAAATTCTGAAAGAAAAAATCCCTAGACGTGCGTCTTCTGAGTTTTTCTTTGGAACAAATTTTATGATTTGAAGTTTTTGTTGCGCATGTAAGCTACCAGCTGGTGTTCGCGAAAGCACGTTACTCGGCCCACTGCGGACCGCGTGATGTATCTGGGATGCGGCCGTATGAAGAGGGAAATTTCGCTTGAATCATTCAGTTTTTTCACGTTTCCGAGGCGAATTCATTTTCGGGCCTGAAAAACAACGTATTGTATTGTTCTTTTTTGATAGGTAGTTAATTATTTGTGAGAGAAAAAAGATAAAAAGATGGAAATACAGGGGTGGCCAAAAAAGAGACACTTTGCCCATGGCGCACATCATCGAACTTTTCGTCGCACAGGGTGCCGATGTTAATGAAAGTTTTACGGCGAATATTCCTTAGGTGTTCCCCCGTAAACAGAAGCAGGCCCTCCTTCACTGCCCCGCCGTCTTCAGAATATGACGTCATCTGCCGTCACCGTCGAGCTCAACGAGGCTTACCGTAATCGCTCCGGCCTGAAGCTGCTACATAATTTCTTCAATGGATTAACTGTTGAATAGCTTCCCAGAGACATTAGCTGTGACTGCAAAACCGCTTTTGACCAGCGTTTCAGGGACGTCGTAATGGTCTATGGTACCTCGACGACCTCGTTGAGCTCGTACCGTGAACCATGTTTCCGTGGGAAAATCTTCTGATGTCGTCGGTGTAGAAGGCTGTCATGTAACGTTTAGATAGATTAGAAGGTGCTCTTCAATACTGAGTTGGGGCAGTCGATTTGATTTTAGCAAAGTGTGATTAATGCTGTCTGAAATGTGGAGTCAAGTGTCTTTTTTTGGCCACCCCTGTATATGCGGGGAACGGCTGCTCTCAATGGGTTAGAGAAGGGTAGTGTACTTTTTTTTGATAAATTTTTTTATATGATATACGGGCATTGAATTTTTACTTCAGGCTTTTTTATTTCAGAAAAATTCGTTTAATGGTTGCTGACGCGAAAGAAGAGAGGCTCTGCTTGGCTGAGAGGAATGGAGCCGATTTTGTGGTTCATTGGGATGACTCTGGTAAATCTAAAATTTTTCGCACATGGAATTGCTATCCTGACGATCAAACCAATATCCACAGTATCATCACCTTGCATTGAATTATATCGTCGCATCTCTGAAAACCAGGAAGTGTTTGTTTTTTTACTTTGCACTTGATTACAGAGTTCGAGGAATACCTAATCATGCGTACTAAAGATGTAGCACGAACCGGAGTTAATGTTGTTTTTGATTTTGTGACATCGCCGAGAACCGTCACTCGTTCGCTCAAGTGCCTCGCAGAGGTATGTTAGTTTGACCGAAGAACGAGATGTCGGTTGGCTGCAATTTTTCATTTATTTGAAGGGAGGTGTTCTGTTCGTTGGTGGACTATCTGGATTGGACGTTCAGCTCCCAATCAAACTTGTTGCGAAGAATAGGCTTGCTATTATGGGTGTGACGAGGTAATAAGGTTGTTTATTTCGCTCAACTTTAAAGAACAAGACAAATGTTTGATATTATCGGAGCACTATAAGCACTTTCCAATTAGTATGAAATGAATTATGGAGTTTCAGACGAAATATCCTGGTGTAAAATGCTTTCAAAAACTATCACTGTATTGCGGTCAGTCGGAAAGAGTGATTTCAAAAATGAACGATGCGATTTGTTGAAGCATTGTATATGTTATGCGGAATGTTAAGAAGAGGGTGCAGTACTGTGAACAGGGTGCAGAACTTATTGATCTTTGACTTCTTCCCGTCTATACGTCAAAACATTGGGTCCCAGAGGAAAAATTTCCGTTTGCAAAGAGTGACACTGCTCATAGGACCACCTTGTGGATTTGTTTTTCGGGCGGTCCAGATATGATTTTTATCTTGGAAGTGGTACGACATCAATCAATATTAGTTTCCGTGGTGAAATCGGAAGTTTCTGATCATGTGCCAGTTGTGATGGGTGGCAAATCTTGTAGTTGTGTTGTGTAATGTTGCGACCCTATTTCTGTTAAGTCGGCCCTTATTCCTGCCTTTCTGGTGTTTTGTGTCATCGCCAATTAAGGGAGGGTCGCAGAGGGTTTCTTTGAATCTCTTGCGGCATTTAAAATCTTACAGCCGCTTTTTTGTCTTTTTTCATTCCTTTTCATCACAGCCGCGTTGCCCTTGTTCGGCAGTGCGCCTCTAATCCCTAGTACCAACATCGTTGGAGATCCTTCCTTCCTGGGTTTCTGTTGTCCGCTTTATTGAATTTTGTGATGAGGAATCATGCACGGAAATCCTCCACGCTCTTCGAAGTCCAAATAATTATCATAGATTTTAAGCGAAAGGACGAAAGATTGGAAGGTATGAGTGCAAACAAGGTTGTCCTAATCACCAAAGACAAGTTAAGCTGACGTCAAGCGGCGTTTTTTCCATCGTGGGGTATTCATTGGTGGTCGTCCCTTCCTTCTGTTTGCTATCCAGTGTTGAGGAGACACAGTAAATATCAGCGCATGTTTTTTGACAGCGTCTTAGGAAGATTTGCGGGTAAATACCGTAGCTGATGAAGTGCAGCGAAGTAAAAAAAGATAGGCTGGGGTCATTGAACGTGTGTGTTCCATCTAGGTAGGTAAAACATAGCTTTCAATTGGTTTATGACTTCCTCTTTGAAAAATTTTTTATTGCCAAATATATACTACTTCTCTCACACATTGGGACGAATTTCTACCGTCTGGTTGCACATTTTTTATGAATACGCTTTTTTACAGAGGAAGCATCGAACAGCTGAAGAATTTGGTGCATCTCATTGCTGGTGGACAGATAGAAGCCCCAGACTATGTCGTTTACCCAGTAAATCAAGCATCACAGGTGCGTCGTTGGGATTCTTTTGTAATTGCTGTCAGTTATATTTCTGTTTTGAAGCATTAATTTGATCTTTGAATTCTTTTCCTACAGGTACTTGAAACAGCTTTCAATGTCGGAAGTGGAAGGAAGAGCCATTTTGGAAGTGTGCGATCCGGATGCTGCTCTAGATTTGTCGAAAGCTGCTGCAGACTGAGTGCAGGAAATCCATCGATGAATTGAGCTAATGTAGTTAGTTCCGGTTGAGGTATGCCTTGACAATTATTAATAATGATCATGGCTTTCCTGTTCTTTATAATTTGTAAACAGCACTTTGTATCGTTTCAATTAGACTGTTGACCATGTGAGATTTCATGCCAATTCCTCGAATTGTCTCTTCATAGTTGTCTCTTGAAGTCTGAAGATGTATGTATTTTGTCTACGAGTGTGTCTACAAATAGAGTAGTGAGCCATTTCGTTTTTGTACTTTTTTGAAGTTTGTAATCTAAGTCAGATATTTACATAGTCTATAAGCTGTCATTTATTCATGTTAGTTAGCGACTGATTCACGCCATAGTAAAAGTTTATTTGCGACTGTGGTTTCGTAAACAGACACAATATCCGTAAGCGCGGTAAATGTCGAACAGATGTCAGGCCGTGTTTACGTTGTCATAAAAAGTGTTGGCAAATTACTTTTTCCAAAGTCGTAGTATTATATAACAGGCGCACTTCTGTGACAATTCGGTTATTGGCTTAACAACAAGTAGTGTTTATTGGCGCTTTGGTGATACCACTAAGGATACTGTTGGGAAATGTAAACATGTTGCGCCAGCGCGCGTTGAGTTTTTTGAACGCTTATGACCGGAACGATTTTGCAGGCGTCACTGTCTCATTTCACTTCCATGGATTTTGTGCTGTAACACTTGTATACGATACAGTGATTCCAATAATATTCCGTCTTTAGAGAAACTGACAAATTAGTAGGACTTGGAGAACCCTCGCCTGGAGAACTGGAAAGCATATTTGACCCTTTGGTGAACCCCACCGTTTATATTATAGTCAATTATGATGTGATCTGCAGAAGAAATACGAAGAAATGCAAACAATTAGAAAGGAAGCAATGCGTGTGCGAACAATGCATGGTACAGGTGCGACGCGAATGAGCTGAGTTCTGTTTTGTCGGGTGAGTGCAGCACCGCGAAGAGGGAAGCGACGAGCTACGGTTGCGAAATTCCCCATTTTCCACGCTAGATGTCTGTCTGTGCCTGTCGCCTCTGGTAATAAATTTAT